GGGGGGGGGGAGATGGGGGAGGACAGTAATTATTTCATTTCCCTCCATTTCAATTCCATGATATACAATAACATACCTTTCCATGAGGGATGTTGTTGTTGGTGGTTGTGATGGGGGTGGTGCTGCATGTCAGTGTCTGCAGAACTGGCTGGGACTTGAAGTGCCAGCAGCAATGTGGCAACAATGATGACCAGCAACGTTATGATCCTTGATCTTCTGTGCATGTCAGTCATGGCTTTATTGGTTTTTTTTCTCTCACAGAAACACACTGGAAATCTTCCCTGTGCATGTAAAATCATTTTTAAAGCACTCTCAAGACAAATGATGTAATGGATATTTATTGGAAGCCAATACATCAGAGGAATGCATGCAATAACCAATTTGACATTGCTGGAGAATCAAACAGCATTAAAATAATTTCAGAGGGCGTTGTAACATAAATGCTTCAAATAACTTACCGTTTCATGTAAAATATTCTATAATAATGGCTCAGTATGGTCCAACAATATTTTCCTTTTTATGTTTTTCATAAAAACCAGCAAACCTTGAAAAGATTCAATTTTTTTGCTTCAAAAATTAAGCCAGAAAACTAAATGATTTTTTGGCCAATTTTTGTTGATGAGTGACTTGAAATATTGGCTCATTGAGCTCACAATTCAACCATCATGCAGTTCAACAGTCAACTTTTCTGGAACGTTGACTTGCAATTCAACCTCTTGCCCCACAATTTGACCTGCAGAGAGACTCAAAAAATCAAAGTTGATGTGGAAAACATCAAATTTGAATTTGTCTTGCAATTTGACTGCTTTGCAACTCAACCTTTACCCAGCAATTTGATTATGGTCAAATTACAGGCCACAACATGTATACTGAAATGCAAAGGGAATTTGCCAAGAATTTAATAATAAAAAAATATTTTATCACACAGTTTTTCACCTGTAATATCAAATGCAGTACAGTGCACACAAAATGAATACACTTTTCAACTTAACAATAGGCCACCCATATATCATATCCATATGATGAAACTGTCCATCACATGATGCACAACCTATAAATATAACCAAAGACTGTTGTCCTTTTATATATACTGTATGATGGTACAGGACTTTTGATAAAGAAGCACATGATATTACAATAAGCAACCCATGCCACAAGAACACAGCACAGAGAATCACTGCCACAAACGTTATATGAATAATTAATCAATATGTGATGAGGAATTGGGAGAAGGAGAAATGAGGTAAAGTATATATGTTTGATGTGTGGTATGACTGTATGAGTGCCTGCTGATGGCAGCAGCTGGGGATGAAATGCCTGCAGGAGACACACTGCACCAGTCCTTATATACTGCAAATATGCTGTATATACCCTTTGCAGTATATATACTGTATAAGCATTCAGGGAGAAAAGCCCGCGTATATTCCGCAGAAAATCAAGTGCACATCATGTGTATGTGGGTTTTGGGATTGAATTATGTACGCAATACCTGGGGGCGGTCATTTGAGGGTCCTTTTTCCATTATGAAACATGCATTATTGTACCATCATCATGAGCAAGCAGCAAGTGCAGCACATCAGCTATGATATACAGCAAATGACAATGAAGGAGAGTGATTGCTTATTATTATTCCAATTGGAATTTTGTTGTTTGTACAGGATATACACTGCAATCCTTGCTTATTTTTTTATTTCATTTGTTTCAAATCACCTGCATCACTGTTGCCAACTTTGTTTGCTGCTCTTGCTAGGATATGTTGCTCATCAGGTGAATGATTGGAGCTGCTGTGGCACAAACAAATTTGGTGAAATATGTTATGTAAATGTATACCTATATATATGCAGCACCACTTGAGAAATCATGGTATAGGTTTTGATATCTGATGGTCCCAAGTAATAGATGGCAGCAAACACTTTATATGCAGCATTAATTTTGGGCTATAGTGAAGATGCACTCCTTTTCGGGCTCACTGTCAATAAATAGTTGCCATATACAGTACTTATACCAGCAGTCACCATCTTGTTGAACTTATTGCATGTATGAATAAAAATTTTTTTTAATTTTCCTGCCTTTGTCAAGTCAACTGTCTATTAAAGAATATTATCCTATATATGGATAGTTATACTGTGAAAATTCAAAATCAATTGCTCAGGTCATTTTTGGGGATTAGATACATATCTTGTGTCAAGAAAAGCTTAAAAATAGCACTCATATCCATGTCTGATAACTGGTGTATATATTTATATATAGTCTCAACTTTGAAATCAAGTTGATATGTTGGGCTGATGGTCTCTGAATTTCACATATGTCAGCTATCACAAATGTGCATCATCTCCATTTTCTGAGGAATTTGTGAATAATTTATTGGATGCTCTAGATTCCCTGCCTTGGATCATATAATATATTTAGCATGTTAGCCTTATTTGGGAAAAATCAATAAAAGACACTATCGCAGTTCTAGAAGAACGTCTTCTTCTGGATGCAATTAATCTAATATGAATTTGTCTTCCAAGAATAAACTTTTGATGAGAAGATTTTTGTTCCTATAACCCGGGTTTCTAAGTGAATAAGACTTCTCGTTATAAAGACGTGAGTACGTATATTTCTATGTGACTGCAACAAATGCCAGACCGACAATGAATACCGAATATACACTTTGCAGGACCTTAAATAGATTCAGAATAAACCAGACATGCATGATGCAATTCAGTCGGGAAAACAGAAACGGGAACAGGGAATGACCGCAAACCAGACACTGTAAAAGTACGCGTCATGACCTCCTCAGATTTGGATCTGAGTTGCTAGGCAAGAAAGTATGGTTACGTTTCGGGACGTACATTGCGGAAGAATAGGAAGCGTCATTATAAACCTGTTACAGGACACTCATATTAATATTTGATGACGAGCATAATAAATTCTTCCTTCAGCATTTGCAGCAAAGCATTGACTCATTTTAATTCATCATCTGTTTAAATGAGGGCAATGTATCCAGAATAATGCAACATGATGGAATTGAGACATATCTTCATATGAACCTCTATTTCCAACCTGATTCAAGAGTAATGTGATGATGATGATTGATAATCATACTTATCCAGGGTATCTTCAAAAAGCATCCATATTGCCCAGCAATGGAATTTTTTAGTATAATATGTATCACAACATTCTTAAAATGTTATATAATAAGTTTCATTGTGATTAATTGATTGATTTATTCAAGTCAGCAGCAGTCAGTCTACATTATTATGATAATAATGATGGATAAATGACCTTCTTGAGTATGATGATAGTCATTATATCTATAGATTGAAGCCCTGCTGCATATATACACATCATCTCAACTTGAATATATTTTGGCAAATTGGACTATTATACATACGCGTCATCCGATAATTGCATGAAAAATCACTTTAAAATAATGGAATTCGCAAGAACTTCCTTTGAAAACTATAATGCGACAAAGGGGCGATGGCAAATGTAACTACGTATTAATCGCGAAATATCAACCATAATGATGTAAATAAAAGAAAAACCCCTTGAGCTTTTGAGGTCAGACTTGAGAAGCACAGGAATTGAAACACGCATGCAGACAAGGAAAGTGCACAGTGGGGAAATTGCTCATGAAAAATTTGCGCAGAAACGACGACGACGAGGCTCATATGCAGCAGCGCGAGTAAAAGTGTGCAAAATTCATCATATACAGCACGGTTCTCCATCCTTCCCACATCATATAATGGACTGTCTGCTGTTCATGGGGAAAATCAGCCCAATTTTTGCAATGCTGTGACACGCCGCTGGGTGTTGTTGGGTTTTTGCAAAAGTCCCCTCTGATTCTCTCTCTCTCTCTCTATATATATATATATATATATATATGCTGCAACTCATATTATATAGCTTTATATTGTTTCACCCTAAACAAGGGTTTTTTTCATTTACAGTAATACTGAATATATTCAGTAAAATATAATCTTGTTACAACAAATATTGTTGCAACAAACATTTTCAGCATAACACACTTTTTCTCAAGTCCTGGTATAGAAAGGCCATGCTGTACATGTTGTTAATCTAGAAAACATTCAGACTTGCTGCAAGGATTTTTCCCTCATCCAAATGGTCATATTTCTTTTCAATAAGGAGAAAGACACTGTTTAACCCCTGCCCCTTTCTGTCTTGTTTTCATTCCTTTATGTTTTAGTCACACTGGCATTTGGTTGTGACACTTTTCTTTCAACTCCCAACTGTGATTTATGATGCATGCAACTATCTGTACTTCTTTTCAAATGTGAAATCAAAGAGGAAATATCTCTTGGAGGAATACAGTATTACGGTATATAGAAATATTTGTGATGCATATATATTTGCATGTATTAACTATATGTACAGTCAACCCCCATCTAACAGACTTAATTCATGCAATGGACAAGTCTGTTAGACAAAAAGTCCTTGATACAAATTCAATTACATAAAAAATTAGAGCATTCAATTGTCAACACTAATTTTAAACCAACAGAAGTCTGTTTGGCAGATTTTGTCTCTTTGGGCAGAAGGAAAAACTGCCCGCAGAGCTGGTTGAATGAATGAACAGAAAACTTTATTTGCCGCTTTTCAGCGTTCACAAGGCATAACCAGAACTCCTGAATCCAAACCCCCTCCCCACCCAACCCAACCCAACTCCCCCAAATACATTCAATCATTTCAAAGCATGAAACAAAGCACAAACGAATGACAAAAATAAAAGAGAACACACTCCACAAAATAAAACTGGACATCCTACACCCACCCATCCCCAATATTGAAGAGCTGGTTTCTTAGGCAAAAATTCCTCATGCAGGTGGTCTGTTAGGCAAGGGGGGGGGGGCACTGTATTGATGAGACTTGGAACTCATGAAGAATACTAGGAAGCTTGGTTGCCCTCAATTCCTCCCAATAAATATATATATATATATATATACCTCTCTCTCTGGAGCAATTCCCAGAATTAATCCAAGCCCTATTGCACTAATTTCTTAGGAAGCCTTATGTATAGGCATTTAGCAATAAAGACTTCCTGTCAAAACCCTGTATTTTTAATAATAGTTTTTCAAGTGTATATATCTGAAGTAGATCATCTAGGAATTTTGTTTTGTACAAAGTTGTACTTTTACTCAGCTTATTGGACAAAAATGTTGAAGCAATCATGTTGAAACAAACTCTTCAAATTTTAGCATGAAAAACTGTTTTAAGGAATGTTTAATTCATGCTAGGTGTATAAACTTCCTGACTTAGGTAGGCACAGTTTGAAACTTTTGATCCTCAATGTGACTGAATGCTGATTCTTACTCTAACATTGGATGGAAGCTGTAATCAGCAATGACAAAAAATACCTCCAATTGATTGGTTCCACTCACATCATTCACCCAGAATGAAGAGATTAGTCAAACTGCTGATGGAATGCATGAGTCAAGCTAGTTTTATTTTCAGAAGATCAGCACTCAGTTTTTCAAACAATAAAAAAAATTCAAGAATGCCAGAAAATCTAGATCTGTAATTGATTACATAGACAGGCATGATGTGGAAATGTTTTCCAGTCAATTATTTTGAAAATCTGGTTACCCCAAAAAGTTTGTTGTAACCAGATTTTACTTTGTAAACATAATCTTCTGGTTTGCCTGAATAATGCTAGATAAAAGTATGTAAAAGAACAAAGAAATGCTGTAATAGGAAGCATCCTCTGCAATTCTCCTGACAAGGGAATGCAAAAGGGGTTTCCCATCAATTTTGACACCAGCACAGGTCATGCATGTCTGGATGAACAGGAAGCCCCAAGAGACACTCAGCCACTCCTGATGATGAAGACCCTCTGGCATTCTTGGAAGAGGATGATGGCAACACACTGATGGAGTCTCTCTGGGCAAAAGAGTAAACAATAAAAAAGTAAGGAAGTATATATTTCTTCTGAATATTTAAACATGTGTGTGTTTTATAATAGTCAACATCTTTTCAGATATGCTTCTTAGCTGGCTTTATTATTTACTCTGTGTTTTCCTCAAGAAAAGATCATCTGATCTCCAAGCCTTTTCCAGCACACAAAAAAGAGACTCAGATCAGAGGCACAAGTATATATATAGGGCAGCACACTATTGCTTTTTAGTCAAACCCATCATGCGCTCATACCATACATGTATGAAATTCAAGCATTATACAAAGAGAACATGGTTACAGAATAAGTCAGATAGGACCATGCAATGAATCTTGTTATATTCATAAATACTGTATTGCCATCACAAATTATTTGTATAATCTTGTTACCTCTACATTACTGCTGAACAACCAAATACAGGGTGGGACGAATATACTATTCAAGCCTCCCTCAATATATAATTCTCAAGGTTTGTATCTTACTGGTTATAGAATGAGGTTGAATTTTATAATACCTGCTCCAGACAAATTGAATTGAACAGCAAGCTTTATTTTCCACTTTTCAGTGTTCACAATAAGTTTCAATAAGCAATGTACTCACATCCAAAAGCCGTCTCCTCCCCTTCCCCACCATCATTCATCCAAACACATGCCATCACATCAGAATTGAAAGCAGAGAAATGAGCTCTATATACAGATGATGGTACCTTGCAATTCAACCTCATCCCACAATAATTTGACCATCCCAAAATTTTACAGTCAAATTTGCTGGGAGGTCAATCTGCAATTCATCCTAGGCCCCCCAGCAAAAATTTCAGATTGCCGCCTGAGATAGCAGCTATTTTTACGCGTATCCTGGCCGTTTCAGGTGGTGGTCAAATGGTTTTGGATGCAAGTAGGGAACTGTTTTCCTGACGCGGTCAGGATGGGGTAAAAAATGTTTTTAGGTGACGCTTTTGAAAGCGTCAGAGTCTGACGCTTTTAAAAGCGTTTTTAACCTAGTCAAAAACGTTTTTCCGTGACGCTTTCAAAAGCGTCAGAGGCTGACGCTTTCAAAAGCATTTCTTACGCTGTTNCAAGAACACAAAGGTACAGAAATATTCACAACAGTTTTTCGGACCGCAAATATGCACAACAGGTTTTTCGCAGGTTAAAATTTCTGGCAAAGTACGAGATTCACGACGCAACGAAACGCTTCGACGGCAAAATTCGGACTGTGTTGACACCCCAAAAATCAGGGGGTTATATGCTGAAAAAAAGGGGCGGGGGAGCCTGGTACCTGCAGAGTATCCCAGCAGCTGGGTGTTGAGAACAGAAAAACACCAGCTGCTGGTAGATTTTGAGACGAAAAATTGAGATGTTTGTAAAAGGATGCTTTTCCCGAAAAACCGGGTGTCTTTCAAATTGGCGGAGTTTTACAAGGCTGCGCATGTTTTGGGAGACAAGGATAAATTACTTTAGGAGGGAAAAAAGGGGGCATGTTTTTCCACAGCACACGTTTAGACGAAGTGCGGCAAATTGTTGTCAGTGTATCAAGTATCAGAAGAATACGACAACGGCCAGCAGCTGGCAAAATCTGGTCTATCGTTTTGAGATAGTTGTTTTTCTCGAGAGACGTCAGGGTTGAGGGGTTATTTGACCCGATGTTTTTCATAGTCCCAAGGATGGGCTGATGTGTTTTACTGACTCCTTAAATTGTTTTATTTTATGACCCTGTCAGAGGGAAGCTGTTGCAGCTGCAGGCGCGTCCCGAGACGCGCCAAGTATTACTTAATTTTAAAAATATTTCGTCAGTTTTTAGTTGGTCCTGTCTTCAATAGAAAAATTCCGCACATAACGCCCAAATTATTTGCTGGGCCTGCAATTTGACCCAGCACAGAGATGGGCAAAAATGTCAAATGCAATGTAGAAAACAAAGTGCTTTGCATTTTGACCCTAGTTCACCAATGGATTTGGTTTGAATTCCTGTACTGCATATATGGATATTAAAAGAAAATAAAATACATTCCAAAATGTGCAATTTCACATCTGATGTAAATGCTTACACTTTCTTCCCTTCCCTAATTAAAAAATAAATAAAGTGTCTGTAATAAAAACTGCATCATAAGGCAATTACTGAACCCAAATTAAAGCGCAAGGTGTCCATATGCAGCCTGCTCTCAGATAAAGTTTAGTAATGATTTAACAATTTGGAAAGAATCTTTGATGAGAAATCCTGTCAAAATAAGCAAAAACAAAAAGATGCACATTATTTTCATCATAATCTCCCACAAAGGATTATATTCATATCTTTTCCTGCAGGTACAGTATACATAGTAAATCTGTGAAAATAATAAACAGATATCCTGCTAATATAATTTTTCAAGAAAATAAATTTCTATGGAATAAATATTCTTCACAGAGCTTATATTGAAGAAACCCTTACATCAGTGTACCCTAGCTTGGTTCTGAGGCCAGAGGGACAGGGCCAGGTCCATGAAATCCTAATTGAGTCGGGATTCCCCCTACTTACATGATGGAATCCCTATACTCTGTACTGTATATATATACTGTACCCTTCATGCATGTGTACAGTACAGTACAGTATATACAGTACATGGATGATGCCTCACTCACTCTGAAAGCGCCAGGGAATGACCCGTTGAACTGGAGAGTGACGTCAAAGTAGGTGGGCCCGGGACTGGTCAACTTTTACTGCCTCATTGCTACTAAGGACCTACTACTCAGGTGGCTCAGGAACCGGGGTAGGTCTTGGAGCAGTTGCAGAGACCGTATAAGTAGTCACTGGGGACTACTATCTACGTATATAATATCATCATCAGCAGTATATATGCAATTAATTATCATCATCATCAAAGTTGATCATCGCCGAGGAAAAAAATAAAGGAGAAGAAAAAAGTGCCAGCAAATGATTTTTGCATTCCACAATTTGATGAATAAATAAAGGAATGCTTTCCTTTTGTGAATAATTTCATGGGGGAATGGCGGGCTTTCCTTGTCGAGTTTTAAATTTGCAATATTTCAAAAAACCATGACAACTGATTCATTCCAACTTTTTTTTGCCTTCAATCCCACAAAAACCTAGCTGTGCTTTCTCATTTGTATATACACACCCTTAAGTAAAATCATACCAGGTATTATTTTTTGTTCAATTTGAAAGAAGATTCAGCTTCAGCTGGGCACTTTTTCTTCAAGAAGGAAAATTGCTGAGCCAACACAGCATATATGTTGCAAGTTTTATTTATTTTAAACTGTGTGCTGGCCACACTCTAAATCGTAGATCTTTTCAAATAGTAAAGGCCAAGGGGAGCATTTTTGAAAAATACCATATACTGCATGCTCCATTAAATGCATGGGTGTCTATTTAAAATTTTCAAATATTCCCCCTGGCCTTCCATAGAGACTGGCAATTATTTCCAACAGTTTACAAGATGAAAAGAAAAATTGGGGAAGCATAAGGGGAAAATAGGAAAAGAAACTTGAAATTCCAATTGAATTTTGGAAATGACATGGGACTATACACATACAGTATAAGAAAAGGTAAAATAATGGAAAGGGTTTCATTGATGAGTGTTTGAAACTAGATATGGGGGAAGGATTATTAGGATTAAAAATTCAAGAAATTCTTTACCTACACCCCCCCCCCCCTCTTTCATTGACCCAGCCAGCACTGTATTAGAGGCCAGTTACTATTCCCTTATGAACCCACTTTGAGACATTTGACATTTATTAGAGACTGATGGTGTCTATTGGAGACCTTCAGGCATTCATTGGAGCATGTATGGTACCTTTTTAGCATTATATAATTATGTTGATTGTGTAATATTTTTAAAGGAGGGGAAACAGTGTGTCAAGGGAAGAAACAGAATGTTTTTTTCAATAAGGTCCAGCATATTTATTATCCATGATATCAATATGAAGGTGTCATATTATGAAGACAGCAATGAACCAACCATTCCCTTTCAGCTGGATGAACCTCTTCACTTTCAGGAACTGAAACCTGGAACACAGCCCTGGTGCAGGAGACTCCTGCTGCACCAAGTTATTGATGTAGTCCACTGCAGCTTGTGCCAATTGGACACCAAGTGGGTCCTTGGCCTGCAACTCCCACCAAGTGGCACAGCCACAGAAATGTGGCCCAATATCCGCATCTGCACACGTTCTGTGTGGTTTCATGGGTTGCAGGACACTGTGGGCAAACCCTGTTTGACAGTCTGAATGACTCAGACATCTGGGATCAAAGTTCAGAAGGTTCACCAAAGTGGCATGGACGTCCAGTGGGGTAGTCAGTCTGTTTCTGTTGACTCTCAGGTTTTTAGCTGCTGCTGGGTGCTTTTTCAGGAACTGTGGGGGGAATTTCATGTACAGCAGGGGGTTTCTAGCCTCAATCCTTCCCTATAGTACAAAATATAGATTCTCTATGAATATCAGCAATAATGGAGGAACATTCATGCTGTACAGGTGGTGCCCCACAATTTGACCCTAATCTGTTGTGGGTCTATACAGGATTAAATTATTAGGCAGAGGTGAAATTGCAACCTAGACAACCTCTAAGAAAATGTTTACCATCAACTTATGTGGGATGGATGAATGGCAAGGTACCACCTGTACAGTGAACTATATAAACAGAAGATTCAGCTAACTTGAATGGAGAGCCCCACTCTCATGTTGATGAGTCCATGGCCACTGGTGACCACCAAAACAGTGCTGTTGGACACAAAGTTGTAATTGAACCACTTGAGAGTCTCCAAAAACATCCTGTCTGCTCTTTTCCCAGCTGGAACAAAGTCTGTTTCCAGGGCCACCATGAACTTGGACTTATCCTGGTATTCCTGCCACAATGACTTCCTCCAGGCTCTGAAAACCTTATATTTCCAATCATCAACACAAAGAGGCAGTATATTAGATAAATAAATTATTCAATTTTTGAACGAAATGCTGGTCTCCAAAAACCTTGTGCATGTGTTCAGTGTAATGACAGTTCTTGGCAGAAGCGTTTTCAGCCAGCATGAAAACTCTGGAGTTGTGGTCAACAGGTGGGTCTCTGAAACCAGTTGTTCTATTGTGGAACACACTACCATGACTAGTGTCCTCGTGGAAGACTGTGACATAGCCATTTTGCCTGAAGGTGTCCCAAGCAAACTCTGGCACCACTTCATCAACAAATCTGGCTCCTTCATGAGTCCCTGCCAAGTGCCTCCATGTTTGTATTCTTTGTCCTGTGTATAATGATGCTTTTATAGGAAACATTTACTTTTTCAAACTTTAACTATATCCATTCATGTTTCTGCTTTTGTATAGGCAAATCATACCAATGCAGAAGTACATGTATGGTATAAACACACACACCTTAAAACATTTCTGAATTCTTATAAAATCAAGAAATTGCTTTCCATGACATGAATGAAGATGAAGTAATGTGCACCAAATTTTTCCACACTTATATCCCTTACTTTAAAAATTTTATAAATTTGTCCATCTTCATAAAACCATCTTTGATTCAATTAAAAAGCCCTCACTATATACAGCCATTCATTCAGGCACATCATAAGCTATACCTAATCCAGCAGATCTACAAAATCATTTATCAAATTAAAGCATTTTAATGCGTTCATCATGAATCACTGAAGTAAGAGCGTTTGTTCTTGTGTGAGAAAATGTCAATTTCAGGCAATTTCATATTTAAATACTGTACTGAGTGTTGATGATTTGAGGTCATCAAAATATATTATCTCTTTATATTTGGGGTACAGAAATTCAATGAATGACCATGAAATACATGTCCTGCATGCTGCTTCTTGTGTTTCAGTTTCACACAATAAAGAAAGTGGCACAAGGGAACAAATCATCATTCATCATTTTTTTATAATTGTGGAGTACCCTTTTTCAATTTTTTAATGATCCTTGAACCAGCACATTATTTACACTCACAGTTCTTGTGTTATTACATGAATATATTTACACTCTATATACACATGGACATTTAGAGTTATTATATTTATTCTGAACAATAATATATATAAAGCAATTCCAGTAGCATGCTGATAATGATGATGATTGCTACAAATGAATGAGCAACAACCATCAGAGATGAGTATGACAGACAGCACATTATTGACATTATGTATATATATATATATATATATATATATATATATACCAGACAGGAGAGCAATCAAGGAGTCCCTGGTGCCAAAGGTGACAGCGTTGAAGCCATTAAAGACAAAGCTGTCACTCTTATTCACCTGACTGCAGTACATCACGGTCCTGAACCCGTAAACAGAGACCTTCCGTAAGAACCTGCACCTCCTGTCCTGTTACTCCTGATACAACTTTCCGTGTCGTAACCGTACTTGGTCCTTGAGACCCGGGGTGTCTGAGTCCACCCTCACATCCCTGTGTGCCCCAAGGAACACCCCTGAGAACCTGTACAGTATATATATGATGATGATGGTGGTGAATTGAGGGATAATGAGGCACATCAACAGTTGCTCTATTCTTGGACAAAATGATTATTCCTATTCTTGTACTGTATTTGTCTCTCATATATTAATCAATTGAATCCACAAAAAATGAATGACGATGGCTTATTAATCTTGATGGAGCACATCATCATTATGAATAAAAGGATTTTCTGTTTGAAGTTGCTACATGGCAAAAAAAAAGACATGATGAATGTGAATCACCTGATATATGTGATGAAGCATTGTTTAAAATTAAAATACCGTATTATTCACTCAAGTATATACCACACCAACCAGCTTTTTCTCAAAATCGTGATGGAAAAGGGAAGGTATGTGCTTCTGGGAAGAGACAAACTTATTACACATTTTTAGAAGTTTAGGTGTGCATCATGTAACATTTCTTTAAAGGGAAACTAGGACATTTTTTGACAATAACATTTTAAATTGAAACCATTAAAAATTACATGAATTATTCAGGTTGATTTCAAGTCCAAATTCAAGTTCTGGTGGACCTCTAATTTTTTAAATATTGAAAATTTTCAGCCAGAAAAACTGCAGAGTCCATTTTACTGGGTGATAGGATTTTATGAACAAAATGTAAGCTAAAAATATTGGTTGTGAGTCTCACTCAATAGCATGCATTAGTATACTTTAATTCCATTAATATAAGGTATTCTTACATTTTCCCCACTGTTACACTCAATTTTGCTCACATATGGACAAAGGCGAAAGAATGAGTATGTAAAAACCATCAACCTTCTTGAGGGATTGCTGGAGTCCTGGCAAGACACTTGACAGGTGTCAGAGTGGACCAAGAGGTAGTTGTCTCTGGACCAAGTTGGTTCCCCTTTAGCAATGGTCTGATCATCCACCATGACCAACTCTTTGCTCCCCCAGCAGCATCATCCATTTATAGGAACCAAATTTAGTCCCAGCATGATTTTTAAAAATAAGGGACACTATAATCATTTTAAAAAATCACTACACCTATTAAAACTGACCTGTGAAATTGCAGCCAATTTCTTGTCCCCAACTCTTGATCCTCAGACAGTCAACATCCACCTGGATCCAAGGTCTTAGTTTTGCAGGACACTTCATGGGAACTGGTCTTGGGGAATATTTTGCAGAGAAATTCTGAAAGTCCAACTCCCAGTCATAGTTTCTGCACACCACTGCATCCATCTGGTCATCTTCAGGGTCCAAGGGGATCCTTTGCACAAAGAGCTGGCCAATGTTTTCATCTACCTCAGCTCTTGATATTAGAGACACTTTTCTCAGTTGTGTGCCTATTTGAGTGAATTTCTGCACCATTGTTTTCACCAGCAGGAAACCAAGTATGGCCAAGCCACAAAACTGAAAACCCCCCAGTTTCATGCTCAAAATTCCTGCTGTGTCCCTATATAAAATATTACAGTACTTGATTATAAAAAATGCCACATATCACCAAGTTATTAAGTATATGGTAAAGAAATGACATGCAGCAGTGAGAAAGTCAGCTATTTGATGATTGGTAACTTCAAATTCTGCTAAAATAATTAACCCCACAACAAAAGGGTACTGTACTGTATTTCATCACTGCTGCGATGAATACATTTTACATGTTGAAAATATTTTTAGTACTGTATACTGTGCATGGAGAAAAACAGCAGTTCAAAGCATTTCATGAGAACACCAACCATAATTATAACAGCACCAATAATTCTCATGCATATATGCATACATTTTTGTGTCATGAACTCAAAATAAGCACACAAAATGTGGGATAGCTCAAAGGAAAATTCAAATTTCATTTTGACAGCATGCGACATCTACCCACACTAGGGCAATGTGACAAAGTCATGGACAAAATGCCTCTAGTGTCATTATAGGCTTAAACTTTGTCAGTACAAATACTGTACTCCTATAATTTGCATGTATCCTGAATATAAAAGAACTCTCCCAATGTATTTGAAATAAAAGCCATTCCATCAGATATGTATAACTCTTGAAATTGAAACCTAAATTCGAATTTTCGTCATTTTTTTTCTTTCATCTGTTACACTTCACTGAATATTTATAAAACAGGATCAAAAATCACTCCAAAACCAGATCTGTTATTCTAGGAATTATGATACCAGCAGCTGTTGCGGGTTTAGTCAAGTAAAACCAGCACATCCCTGGGATGAAAATTCAAGAAAATTATGTAATAGAAGAGAAAGAAAAGAAGGCCCTTTTTCCACCAGTGGTCGAGTTGTTTTCAAACCATATGAACCAAATTCCCAGCAAAATCACGGAATATCAATCCGTAAAAGAAAAAAACCGCCTCTTTCGTTATTCTCACGACCCTTTTTCTCAACCCAACCAACTTATTGTACCATCACTTCAAGGAAAAATAAAAATCATCAATTGGCAAAAAAAGCTCGAGTTCCTACTATACACACACTCACTCGAAAGAACATTGGATACAAAGAAAAATGCCCCAACGAAATATAATGATAAGATTGGCAATGTAAAATCCTCCCGCGGCTTTGGTCCAAATATATCGTATCCAAGTCCAACACAGAAAAAAAAAGAGGCAGGAAAATTAATGAATGCATCATCCGTCACGCACAAATAATCTCTTTCACAAATCGTCTCACAACGCGTTTTAGGCCTCGATGCTCATCCGCAATCAATTAAGCAGACTCTTTCTTCTCTTATATTCTTTGGTGACTGCTGAAGAGTCAAACATATTTCTATAAATTCCCCAATGATTGACGCAAAACAATTTTCCATATAACAATCAGCCATCAATCGAGAATCACTCAGGACGAGAAATAATCCTAGAATGAATATCGTCAACCTCGTCTGAACTCATCATCATTGCTGGCAATAGTGTCCAAATCAATGCAAAAGACAACCTAGCTTTTTGTGATTGCTGGAAAACAAAACAAAAAGAAAATATTTGGGTTATAGTTCATCATCAAAAAGAGAAAAAACGAAAAACCTTCAAGGTACTGTATACATGTACCCAGTATTGAAATGATCCAAAAATGTTTTAAATTTGAGCAAACCCACAGTTTTCAACAACTCCTAAAATACTAATAAATTTATTTTCTTAGAGCATATAGGTTTTATTTTCAACTGTAGGCATGTATTTATTTTTAAGGAAAATCTCCTGATGACTTTTAAATATAAACTACTGAACATTTTAAAAATTAATCTGATAGAATCTATGAGAGACCGAGTTCCCTCGAAAATTCCACATCAGCAATAAATTAAATTTTTTCCCCTCCCATATTTTTGCAAGCAGCCATTTCGGGACAAACTTTTATTCATTCAAAGTCGCTCGTTCCATTCGGAAATGTTGATGTCTCTTAAAGCACGAAAATTTCAGCAGCAGCAGATGAGACAATCAATAAATGCTAGAATTCTGAAAAATGTACTGTCTCTATGTAGTGGGTAACTCTCCTGTCTCAACTTTGAAAACTGGTAGAAAAAGTCAATCCGTGAAACGGTTATACATTATAATTCCACCAGCACACGGCAGATGAGGTTTCGCTCTGGGTACGTGTGGCACAACATATTATTTGTAGATATAAAAAACCCCCAAGAATAAGTTGTGATCCAGAGAAAAAGGACTGACGTCATGTAGTGCCAGGACTTGGGCATTTGTCTCTGGAAGGCATTCTTGGACGTGGAGGACAGGACAATGAGGACTATGTTGAAAGGCACAGCATTGGCATGAACCAGGAACTCTGGGCCTGTGTCTGAGTCCACCCTCACATCCCTGTGTGCCCCAAGGAACACCCCTGAGAACCTGTACAGTATATATATGATGATGATGGTGGTGAATTGAGGGATAATGAGACACATCATCAGTTGCTCTATTATTGGACAAAATGATTATTCCTATTCTTGTACTGTATTTGTCTCTCATATATTAATCAATTGAATCCACAAAAATTAATGATGATGGCTTATTAATCTTGATAGAGCACATCATCATTATGAATAAAAGGATTTTCTGTTTGAAGTTTCTACATGGCAAAAAGAAGACATGATGAATGTGAATCACCTGATATATGTGATGAAGCATTGTTTAAAATTAAAATACCATATTATTCACTCAAGTATACCACATGCACAAACCAGTTTTTTCTCAAAATTGTGATGGAAAAGGGAAGGTATATGCTTCTGGGAAGAGACAAACTTATTACACATTTTTAGAAGTTTAGGTGTGCATCATGTAACATTTCTTTAAGGGGAAACTAGGACATTTTTGACAATAACATTTTAAATTAAAACCATTAAAAATTAAATGAATTATTCAGGTTAATTTCATGTCCAAATGCAAGTTCTGGTAGACCTCTAATTTTTTAAACATTGAAAATTTTCAGCCAGAAAAACTGCAGAGTCCATTTTACTGGGTGATAGGATTTCAGAAACAAAATGTAAGCTAAAAATATTGGTTGTGAGTCTCACTCAATAGCATGCATTAGTATACTTTAATTCCATTAATATATGGTATTCTTACATTTTCCCCACTGTTACAGCACTCACTTTTGCTCACATGGACAAAGGCAAAAGAATGGATATGTAAAAACCATCAACCTTCTTGAGGGATTGCTGGAGTCCTGGCAAGACACTTGACAAGTGTCAGAGTGGACCAAGAGGTAGTTGTCTCTGGACCAAGTTGGTTCCCCTTTAGCAATGGTCTGATCATCCACCATGACCAACTCTTTGCTCCCCCAGCAGCATCATCCATTTATAGGAACCAAATTTAGTCCCAGCATGATTTTTTAAAAATAAGGGACACTATAATCATTTTAAAAAAATCACTACACCTATTAAAACTGACCTGTGAAATTGCAGCCAATTTCTTGTCCCCAACTCTTGATCCTCAGACAGTCAACATCCACTTGGATCCAAGGTCTTGGTTTTGCTGGACACTTCATGGGAACTGGTCTTGGGGAATATTTTGCAGAGAAATTCTGAAAGTCCAACTCCCAGTCATAGTTTCTGCACACCACTGCATCCATCTGGTCATCTTCAGGGTCCAAGGGGATCCTTTGCACAAAGAGCTGGCCAATGTTTTCATCTACCTCTGCTCTTGATATTAGAGACACTTTTCTCAGTTGTGTGCCTATTTGAGTGAATTTCTGCACCATTGTTTTCACCAGCAGGAAACCAAGTATGGCCAAGCCACAAAACTGAAAACCCCCCAGTTTCATGCTCAAAATTCCTGCTGTGTCCCTATAAAATATTACTTGATTATAAAAAATGCCACATATCACCAAGTTATTAAGTATATGGTAAAGAAATGACATGCAGCAGTAAGAAAGTCAGCTATTTGATGAATGGTAACTTCAAATTCTGCTAGAATAATTAACCCCACAACAAAAGGGTACTGTACTGTATTTCATCACTGCTGCAATGAATACATTTTACATGCTGAAAATATTTTTAGTATACTGTGCATGGAGAAAAACAGCAGCTCAAAGCATTTCATGAGAACACCAACCATAATTATAACAGCACCAATAATTCTCATGCATATATGCATACATTTTTGTGTCATGAACTCAAAATAAGCACACAAAATGTGGGATAGCTCAAAGGAAAATTCAAATTTCATTTTGACAGCATGCGACATCTACCCACACTAGGGCAATGTGACAAAGTCATGGACAAAATGCCTCTAGTGTCATTATAGGCTTAAACTTTGTCAGTACAAATACTGTACTCCTATAATTTGCATGTATCCTGAATATAAAAGAACTCTCCCAATGTATTTGAAATAAAAGCCATTCCATCAGATATGTATAACTCTTGAAATTGAAACCTAAATTCGAATTTTCGTCATTTTTTTTCTTTCATCTGTTACACTTCACTGAATATTTATAAAACAGGATCAAAAATCACTCCAAAACCAGATCTGTTATTCTAGGAATTATGATACCAGCAGCTGTTGCGGGTTTAGTCAAGTAAAACCAGCACATCCCTGGGATGAAAATTCAAGAAAATTATGTAATAGAAGAGAAAGAAAAGAAGGCCCTTTTTCCACCAGTGGTCGAGTTGTTTTCAAACCATATGAACCAAATTCCCAGCAAAATCACGGAATATCAATCCGAAAAAGAAAAAAACCGCCTCTTTCGTTATTCTCACGACCCTTTTTCTCAACCCAACCAACTTATTGTACCATCACTTCAAGGAAAAATAAAAATCATCAATTGGCAAAAAAAGCTCGAGTTCCTACTATACACACACTCACTCGAAAGAACATTGGATACAAAGAAAAATGCCCCAACGAAATATAATGATAAGATTGGCAATGTAAAATCCTCCCGCGGCTTTGGTCCAAATATATCCTATCCGAGTCCAACACAGAAAAAAAAAGAGGCAGGAAAATTAATGAATGCATCATCCGTCACGCACAAATAATCTCTTTCACAAATCGTCTCACAACGCGTTTTAGGCCTCGATGCTCATCCGCAATCAATTAAGCAGACTCTTTCTTCTCTTATATTCTTTGGTGACTGCTGAAGAGTCAAACATATTTCTATAAATTCCCCAATGATTGACGCAAAACAATTTTCCATATAACAATCAGCCATCAATCGAGAATCACTCAGGACGAGAAATAATCCTAGAATGAATATCGTGAACCTCGTCTGAACTCATCATCATTGCTGGCAATAGTGTCCAAATCAATGCAAAAGACAACCTAGCTTTTTGTGATTGCTGGAAAACAAAACAAAAAGAAAATATTTGGGTTATAGTTCATCATCAAAAAGAGAAAAAACGAAAAACCTTCAAGGTACTGTATACATGTACCCAGTATTGAAATGATCCAAAAATGTTTTAAATTTGAGCAAACCCACAGTTTTCAACAACTCCTAAAATACTAATAAATTTATTTTCTTAGAGCATATAGGTTTTATTTTCAACTGTAGGCATTTATTTATTTTTAAGGAAAATCTCCTGATGACTTTTAAATATAAACTACTGAACATTTTAAAAATTAATCTGATAGAATCTATGAGAGATCGAGTTCCCTCGAAAATTCCACACCCGCAATAAATTAAATTTTTTTCCCTCCCATATTTTTGCAAGCAGCCATTTCGGGACAAACTTTTCTTCATTCAAAGTCGCTCATCGTTCCATTCGGAAATGTTGATGTCTCTTGAAGCACGTAAACTTCAGCAGCAGCAGATGAGACAATCAATAAATGCAAGAATTCTGAAAAATGTACTGTCTCTATGTAGTGGGTAACTCTCCTGTCTGAACTTTGAAAACTGGTTGAAAAAGTCAATCCCTGAAACGGTTATACATTATAATTCCACCAGCACACGGCAGATGAGGTTTCGCTCTGGGTACGTGTGGCACAACATATTATTTGTAGATATAAAAAACCCCCAAGAATAAGTTGTGATCCAGAGAAAAGAAGAAGAAGAAAAAGTGCAAAAACGAAAGCACATCAACAGCAGGGATCATAACGAACTGATGTACTACATACATGTATATATATACGCACACGATCAAATGTCGTGCGTATATCAATCATGATCTTCGGAATGGCACGAAAAAAAAAAAGATGTGGTCTATGAAATAATAATAATCAATTCTTCTGCCTGTCCTCCCCCCCTTTTCATGTCATATCAAGTCCTCATCATCATTCCTGATGCTGGTGCTGCTGACGAGGCGGTGAAAGACGTCGGCGAGTAGGCGTCGTAGGCGTTGTTGTTGCTGCTGGCCAAGAGCTTGTTGTTGGCGGTGCTGGTGTCCCAGGCCTGGGGCCAGCTGTAGGTGAACCCGTGCTTGTCCTTGCGGAAGCTGGCGGCCGAGATGTTGGCCACCGTCTCCACCACGACCTGCTTCGACTTCTGGCCCAGTTTGCAGCTCACCCGCTCGGCCACGTTCACTGCCAAGCTGGCCCCACTCATCCTGCAGGAAAAAAATATAATGATGATGATTCTTATTATCATTATTATTATTATTATGGCAACGATGAAGAATTATTACAGTCCAATCATTTTTATTACGCATTTTCTTGAGAAAAATGCGCTAATGAGAAAAAATCAGGGTAACTTCTCTAAATTTCTATATACACAGACACAATAACAAAGACAGAGGGAATGACTCATCCTCCATCATTTAAAAGCAGTACAATACTGAAATTTTTGTAAATAGAATGAAAAGCCAGTTTAAATGTGAAGTAGACAAAAACATCACTAAAACATTTGCAATTGCAGAGCAATAATAATTCAATTGCTTGGAAAACTGAGTGATCTTCTGAATAATAATAAAAAAAGCTTCAATAACGCATTCGCACTAATTTATCTCTTCATTTTGGGAGAAAGATGTGAGTGAAACCACTTGGAAGCATGTTTGTCATTGATTAAAGATATACAGTACCATCCAATGCTACAACAAGAACCTGTCAGCAGCAGTCACGTATGGGATTGGATATTTTTCAGACTTTGTCTGCCTTAGTCGGGATATTTCTGCCTCAAGAATCTATTCCTCAAAAAAGTTTATTCAACTACTGCTGGAATTGAGAAGATTGTTACAACAAGATGGTTTCAACATCTACTCTATATGGACTTTCTGCACCTGGGACTCGAGAAAAATATGCTGAAAATTTGTCTCTCCAAGTAATTGCTGCAAAGAGATTTTGCTGCATACAAAAAACAAAAATGGTCACAATTAAGCAGCAGGTCATGCCCTGCTCATAATTTTACGCACTTGTGAAATCGTTGGCACAGGACTCCGACTAATTCTCCCACTCTGTCCACCTCTGGATTCTTGGACATCAGCGCAAATACCAGGTCATTTCCGGATGACAGGTGAATGGCAATCACTTGGTCTTTGCCAGAGCTCACAGACAGTGCGGTTACCTGAAAAATAAAAAGAAGTTGGCAACTATATACAATGACACAAGTATATAGTCTCCTTTTATCAAGAATAATACTTCTTGACCTTTCATTGATGAGTATTTTGGGCTGAATAATTATCATAGTTTCGCTGATGGACATGGCAACATATACAAATTCACATTGCTAGCTGGTATTACAGCCTTTCTATTATAATATGCCTTCATTATTAAAAGTTACATGAATTGAATCTATTCAACTTTGGAAATACCCCCATCAGGTGGGAAGCAATTCTTCCTGTAATCACACAAGTGGTTCAAACTGGGATCACAAATGCTACGGGACATTCCGGGGTTACAAGTGTAAACCACTGTACAGCCTGTATGAAGATACAATTTTGCTGCACTTCCAGAATTTCATTCTTGGCATACCATTGTATATAACATTTGGTAAAAGAGAAAAAAAGCTTTGTATGTGCACTTGAGGTGATGCACAGCAGGGTTTTCTGTTTGTGTGACTATTTACACATGTAAGGCCCAAGTGTTTAATGATTCCCCTACTTTGGGCCAGCTCACTTTGAAATTTTGAATTAAGTATTCCAAGTGTAAAACTGCAAGACTATGGTACAATATACTCACAGAGGTCAAGGGAATGCCTCCTTTCATGGGCTTAAACTTGGGCGGTTCCAGTTTGTAAAGCATCTTGTCAGTCACCACAACGGCCCTTTCCGCAAATTTCCCAAACCTGTTGACAATTCCAAATGTGGAAAAAAAGAGACAAGCCTGAGAAAGGGCTAGCATGCATTATTAAATAAGATAAGCATGATCACTGCAGACAATTTTGCAGGTCCCACAAGATCCATGACTGCAGTGACATCTACATACACTGAAACAACTCTTCATTGCAGTGGACAACAATGTGGGATATATGAATGCCACTGCTGGGATCTCCCTGTTGGACTTGGCCTATGATAATTTTGAAGTAAGAGTGGGATTTTCTTTTATTTTCAAAATGATTTTCAAATTACTGCTTCATGATCAAAGAAAACTTTCCTGTTACAGCCAGGCTTCTCCACCCATGTCACAGTATGCTGAAAATTTGTCAGGCCAGCTAAAAAATATTGGGATTTTTTGTTTTGTTTTACCCATTTCCTTTTCTAAATTTTGTACAATGAAAAAATTCCATTGTTTTAGCTAACCTGACACATTTTAAACACCATGAGACATGGATGTAAAACTCCCGCTGTAACTGGAAAATTTTCACTTATCATCACACAGAAAATTGAAAAACGGTTTTGAAAATCTGAAAAATCCCAGAAACTCAGAACATCATGCTGGGCAATATGTGATGATATTTTCACAATCTACTGTACTTTACAAAACATATCAGAGGTTGCGTCCAAGTGGGACAACCCTTGTACAGCATGTGAAAGGAAGCATCACTTTAAAAATCTCCAAGCACAAAATGTCAACCACTGCCTGTCTGCAGCGACATCTATGTGAACTAAGAGAACCCGTTATCGCAGTGAACACAATTGGGGAATATGAATGACACTACAGCACTCAATCTTATTTTTTTTTCAACATAAGACATGGATTCCCATCATGCAGATGCATATACAGTATACTGTATTTGTACACAGCAGTATACATGCAGCATGTATATATATACTGTGCATCACCTTGGTCCTCAGCTGGGGCCAGGTGTCCCTGGGCACCCTCCTGAGCACCATGAAGGCCCACCAGCGCCGGTGCACTGCCTGCAAGTAGCCCATGCCCGTCCGCAGCACCTTGGGCGGCACTGGCCAGCGGACCCGCCGCCCAAAGTCCGGCATCTGGCGGACGCCCTGGAACGCCGTCAGCACCTGGGTCACGTACTTGCGCATCCGGTATTTGCGGTAGGCCAGCAGGATCCTGCGGGCCGCCTTGATCCGCTTGTAGCGCATCCTGCAAATGGTGCCTCGCCACATTTTCTGGATGAGCACCACGATGTTGGGAATCAACCTGGCCCTGGCCTATATTATTCAAAACATAATAATAATAATTGAAACATCAATCAGCAAAGTTGCACCCATATAACATTACAGCACAAATGTGATTTTTCCGTCACTGCATATCTGAGAAATAAAAAAATACACTCTTATATATTACAGGATAAACTGAGTGTATAATAGCTGAAAACTAGCAAAACTTTGCACACTAATAAGACACTCACAGCAGTTGTTTTCATCATTTCATTATTGATTATATGTTCACATATGTGAAACTTTGCCTTAAGAAGTATATTTCATAGCCTTCCATAAGATATTATGTAAATACAGCACATTGTTGATGCTATGTTTCCTGATGTTTCCTTTAAATCTGAATCTAAATATAATTCATTACACGTTAAATTATATGCATATACATTTCATTCCTTTTCCAGAAAGTCCCCAACATACGTTCTTAATTGAACTTTTCATTAATTTGGAGTCACATCCATCAAAATCAAACAAATTATATAACTCTTCAGAATCACAAAAGAAGATAGTATATGATTTAAACAGCACCCACATTCTCCAGCTCAAACAGGGTCTTTGCAGACCTGATGAAGATCTTGCTGGACCCATACTGCACATCCTGGGAGAAGCCCAACTCATCAATCAGCACCTTGGTCCAATGCTTTTCC